AAGGTGAAAAAAAAAAAAAAAAACTTGTATTAAAAAACATAGAAACAAAATAGATAATACTACAGAAACCAACAAAATCAATATATTTAAATATGGGTCAATTTGACTCGACTTTGGACTTTGCATTTGAAAAAAGTCTCAAGCATCTAAAGGTCAACATTTGATTCATACACATGAGGAGGTTGTCGAACAAACAAAAACGCCAAAATAGGAATTTAATGGTACTATCTACGCGATAGGTGCATGTACACCGAAACTCAAAATCAATAAATAAGTAAATCCATGATAAGCTACACGCTCAACAGTGGGTATTTTGCCAAAATTCAGCCGAAGATAACCTGATTTTATCGTAAACCAAATTTTATGTCTCTTTGAAGTTGTTCGTCAGTGGTTGAGATTTCTGTTAATCTCTTTGCTCTTGAAGCGGCAGTGTCCAGCAATTTTCGGAGTTTTCCGCGTTTTTTCATTGGATATGCTCTATTTCGGTGTAATCAAATTTCGGCTTATACGAGTCGAGAGCCTGTGCGGCGGCCGCGCGGCGCTACAATGGCTGTTGCCATGTTCCAAAAAGTACATTTTATTTTTGAAAAATAGGTAAATACAGACCAAATTTTTATTCCGATTGATGTTTGAAATTTAATTTCATTTTGAGCTGTGCACTGAGAAAAAGCCATGGGCTCATATAATAAACCAATTAGTGGTTCATATGGAAAACTACTTATAGTAGTAAAGGCAACTTATAATAATAGCACATATTCCTTAGTGATGGTACATATATCTTAGTATGGTACTAGATACCTAAGTATGGTTTACAGACCGAGAATCATGAGCTCATTTACGACTATTAGTGGTGTTCCATATAAACCACTGATTGGTTTGTAAAGCCATAGATTTTTCTCCACGCGCTATATCAAATTATATCTTTATATTGTTCTCAAATTGCACACAAATTTGGGATTTTCGGCATGGGTTACGGGTGAAAACCTTTCTAGTTTCTGATACCATGGTACTAAGCATGTTTGTTTCAATTTTTACACAATTTGTCAACGATTCCGAAGAAAACAATGCAGTGAATACGCGTTGGTGGTCGCATTTTGCACTATCTCGGCGTCACATGGCATCGGGTACTTTGTGGGTACATTTAAACCGCAGAGCAAGCCTGCACCCTCTGCGCACTGCAAGACTTTCAAATCGACGTATTTCTGCGAAACATAACAACGCGCATTAGGACGTGAACTCTGTTATGTATTTATCCTGATGGGTCTCAGGACTTATGTCTTAATGTACATAGTTCCGTTTGGCAGAAATACGTCCAAATGACAGTTCAAACCAAAATATAACTACTGCTATGTATTCTGCCGCGCTAAGAAAGCGTGCGAGCCCTCAAACGTTGCCATATTTCCTTCACTAAAAAACGAATTTAATGGGAACGTTGTGAATGATTTTCTACACATTTTTCAGGCGATTCTGTATGCAATGGGCCTGTTGCATGCAAGAGATACAACCGCGCGAATAAACTTTTAAGAGGTTAAATGACACGAAAATTACGATGGTCACACTAAAAAAGTCTGAAATACACTCCTTACTGCGCAATTTGCGTTGTTAGGAACGCGCTTTTTCAAATTTCCCGCGTCTGGGGGCAGTTTTCTAATCACCGTAAACGAGCAAACGGCGGGCTAGGTGATTTCCGGAAGATGCCGAGTCGTTGTTGTTGTTGTTATTTTTTCCTACAGTTTGTTTACAAACCCAACGTGATCTCCTATAGTGGTCCATATACGCTTTATGCGGTAACCAAATCGATCAACNCTGATTCTCGGTCTGTGAACCATACTAAGGTCTCTGTACCTAATTAAGGTACAGAGACCATAACTAAGGTATATGTGCTATTATTATAGGTAGAGGTACTACTATTAGTGGTGTTCCATATTTACCTCTAATAGGTTTATAAACCATAGTTTTTTCTCAGTGTATCTCGGCGTCACATGGCATCGGGTACTTTGTGGGTACATTTAAACCGCAGAGCAAGCCTGCACCCTCTGCAAGCCTTTCAAATGGACGTATTTCTGAGAAACAGAACAACGTGCATTAGGACGTGAACCCTGTTATGCATTTATCCTGATGCACTGAGAAAAAACTATGGCTTATAAACCTATTAGAGGTAAATATGGAACACCACTAATAGTAGTACCTCTACATATAATAATAGCACATATACCTTAGTTATGGTCTCTGTACCTTAATTAGGTACAGAGACCTTAGTATGGTTCACAGACCGAGAATCATTAGTTTATTTACGACTATTATAGGTGTTCCATATTTACCACTAATAGGTTTATAAACCATAGCTTTTTCTCAGTGTGGGTCTCAGGACTTATGTCTTAATGCACATAGCTCCGTTTGGCAGAAATACGTCCAAATGGAAGCTCAAACCAAAATGTAACTACTGCTATGTATTCTGCCGCGCTAAGAAAGCGTGCGTGCCCTCAAACGTTGCCATATTTCCTTCACTAAAAAACGAATTTAATGGGAACGTTGTGAATGATTTTCTATAAATTTTTCAGGCGATTCTGTATGCAATTTAATCTAAAATATCTGAAAATATCAAGGAGAAGCACCATGAATAGCTTTCCACTAAAAACATGTTTTATCCGAGAGGAAATTTGACAATATTGATACGGCGTTTTTCCTTAGCGCAGCAGTGTTAGCCTTGATTTCAGTCTGTTCTTGCTTCTGCATTCATTTACTGCTGGCACTGAAGATTGCAAAGGTGAAGAATCAATATGGTCTCAGAGGTCTTTATCGATCCGTCAAGGTATAGTCTGGTATTCTGTAATTCTGGTTTCTTGCGATTTTAGTATGACATTATAACACGTTTGCTTTTTGAAATGTTGTCGATGGTGATTTTAATAATACTTTCAATTTGACTTGAAGGTTGGAACTGATGCACGAGCGAGCAGAACAAAGATCCAACCAACTGGAGGACAGTTACGCTCTTTTAGACTGTTGGAAGAAGCGAGGCGACGATCTGCTGTACTCTATGATTCCCAGGACAGTCGCGGATCGACTCAGAGCAGGCGAGAGCCCTCTCAGCACTTGCAAGGTTAGTCTTTGCATGCACCACCATCATTCACTCTGCATAGTTGCACCCAGTAAACACCTTTTAATATATTTTGGTGTATTCCCGTGAGTCCCAATACAACTAGATGAGATAGGACGGGTCTGTAATACATAAGAGACTCTTACTCTACCAACTGTCTTTACATTCCGCAACACGGAACCAAAATCTCTGGCTTATTCCAAAAACAGCATATGCAGAATTCACTCCCTAAATAGATGGGTGATTTCATGAATAAGCCTGGCATAGTAGTTTTTTGTTTCAAAATAATGTCTAACTGAAGAGATTATTTGAACTACTTTTTGCAATAAAGCATTTCTATTTTTGACTCATTTTAAAGACGAAAAATGTGCCATCGCAGGTAGGTGCTTCTATGCGTGGAGCTAAAAAAGTGGTGCTTTTTTGCTAAATAAGAAAAAAATAAGATGGCGGTGGAAATTTTGAAACGTCGCATGGCGCTTGTGCGATACTTTGGCCGGAAGGTGACGAAATATCATGGACGAGTTTTAGGCCCTGTTGTCACGCGTAATCCTACCAACCCCTCACCGGGGTGATAAAATTACAATTACCGGGGATTTCCATGTACAATTTGCGCGGTCCAACAATCCGGGGTAGTTTAGAGGGGGGGGGGTGTAAAGGAGGGGGTATCCCTGAGGCGAATGCATCCTGTATGGCTCATTTGCTTACTTTGTCAACATCCCTGGCACTTCGGGTCAGCCGGGTTGCATCGCCCTCCGGCTTCGGTCCGAGCATAACCCCCCTTCCCCCACCCCTCATCCTCCACCCCCTCACCCCCCCTCCTTCCCACCGCGGCACCTATCCGAGCATCGATGACTATGTCTACAAATCGAACTATTAGCGGGCCACTTCAAAGCTCCCCGCCGCTCGGCCGATTGGACGTCTTCCGATACAGCCGCCAAAACCGCGTATGTCCAAGTGGAGCTTCATCCCCTTCGCTTGGTTCTTCCTCAACCGCGGCGTGGCAGGACACATGTTACAACGAGGTGGAGGGCCAGGTCAGCGGAAGGACCAATACACTTAATAGGATCCAAATGATTCGTTTGTGTACCTACGTCTCGCCGAGTGTTTGTGGACCATGCTCGGTCGTGTCCAGCCGGGCTGAGGAAGAACGCAGTATGAGCCCTCAGGCGTTGCTAAATTTTTTCGATTAAATACGAATTTTCAGGAAAACTTGAGGGTAATTTTCTTCCAGTTTCTCACAGAATTTTATTCGCAGTTCAATCTACAGTACCTGAAAATTCCGAGAAAAAATAGTCATGCCCATACCTCAAAAATAAATATTTTATCGAAAGAAGTTTGGCAACATCTGAATGATCTTATGGCGTTTTTATTTAGCTTAACAGTGTTGGTGATGGGTAGCACGCATTCTTGTCGTCAGATTCGAGCACTGCCGCGGCAAGGAAGAACACCGTATAAACAATCGAAAATTGCCGAATTTCTCATCCGATAAGGTAGTCACCATCGAGGAACAAGTTGAAAGTTCAGAATGATGATAATTCATCCTCTCATACAAAAGATATAATTTTGGTGGTTCGCTTGTTTCTGTAAATTCTTTTTTCCTTAAATTATTGAATTTTATTTTTAATATTTCATTTTATGATCTGTAATCACAGAGCTAAACCCTTGTGACAACAACGGGTAAAACAGCTTCTGAAAATCTCTAACATCCCGGAAAACATGTAAGTCATTTAGAAAACCGTTGTAAGTATAATGCTGGAGGAAACCCTTTTAGTATTTTTTCACGTAAAATGTCCAGAAGTATGATTTAAGAGAAAAAAAACATTAAAAACTAATAAACTAGTTGTCTTTAGTTTTTCAAAACTTTAAATGCAAGATACAAAATTAAAAAAAACTGCTGAAAAAATGCACTATGCAAAAATAGAGAAACTCCCTTTAAACGTAAAGCTTACCGACAGTAGATTTCACTTGAAAATGTGCCTCAAAGGTAACATACCTCTCAACAGGTTTTTTTTTAATTTTGAAAAATTTTTCATTTCAAATTTTTTTTAAAACTTTTATTAAAATTTAACAGAAATTTCGCATTTCCACTTTTCACTGGGTTGTTTTTTGGGCAAACGTGACAACGCGGGCGACGAAAGGGGAGTGAGTCCATGAGACGCAGTGGGCACATTAATCGTTTAACCGCACATCAAAGCAGATCCGAATCGGGTCGCAGTTGATGCAGTAATTGGAATATTTATTACGAGTTTACGACCCCAACTCATATCCAGCTCAACCATGTGCACGGGGTCCTGTCTTGCGTGCACTGCTCAGTCCCAATAGTTCTCAATGGATGCCGTTTTTCAATTCTTTGTTTTTTAATTAAGTTCGTAGCTAATTTGCTTTAAAATCCAAAATTTTATGTACTCGCCTTTTTACCAATGTCATAGTTGTGCAACCGGAAACGAATTGCAATAGATCAGTTGCAGCAGTAACAAATTGTGCACTGTTGAAAATATCGGAGTGAAACACACAAAGAACTCTTTGTAAGAGTCCAATAGATGACAAAGGCAATATAAATTGGTAAACTAAGCTAAAATATAACCGCGATGTTTTGCAGTGGTTCCAACCTTTTTGTCAACCACGATACACACACAAATGAGAAGATACGTTTCAAAACACATTTCAGAAGGAACGTGCTATCATAGCAGTATGAAGCGATTTTCTGAAAGAAAATACGCTTTTTCGGAAAGAGGAATGCATAAAAAAGAGCGCTCTTGCCTGTGAATATGTGCCTGATTTTTACGTTTAAACCTGAACATCACCTTTAAACGCAAAGGTAACTGAGAAGAAGGCCGGGCTCAAAAGCGCCTTTGATTCTATGGCTGCACAATTTTAGCTACGTAGAAGTTGATATATTTGTATCCACTAAAGGTTTAATTTCTGTTTGAATCTGCCATCTTAAAGGTTACATTGGACTATTCTAGCATACTTTGCAGCTAGTCACTTGATTCAAAAAGGCAGAGGATGAGGTTTTACTTGCTTAAGTATTGTCATGGACTTTACTCAAACACAGCTAGACGCTAAATGATTTATGCATATCGTCGTAACCATTGATCAACATACTTGTTCTTTTTTTGCCTCGATCACTGAAGAGAGTGTTTTCTTTTTGACTACTGCTTTGCGGTTCATTTTTAACCGTGCATCAGCGACAGCAAAAAAATTAAAAACGAAAACAAAATGATAAAATATATAGCATCTTGAGTTAATTGAAGAAATTTAAAACAAAATGAGGAGATGGAAGCCGGAAACTTTATAAATAAAATGATATCGCATTCGGAAGAAACCATTGAAAGAAAGTTAATCAAATCTCGTCAAAATTACGTAATTTTCATTTTACACTGTCTCTCACTGATCCTTTTCATATAGTTTCCGGTTTCCTTATCATCAGTACGTTTTAAATTCCTTCAATTTACTTGGAATTCCATATTGTATAATTTTAATTTTATTTTTTATTGTATATAAGTATAATCGACGCGCGATGCAAGGTAGCAAAATGTGACCTGAAAATGGGCTGAAAGGCTTGAAATATTATTGGTGAATGAATACCAACCTCCTCTCAAATCGGGCCAAGAAGACAGAGGACAAGTATAAATTGTTGAGGAGACGTAATAACGTACAAACGCTAATTTTGTGCATTATACACTTAAAGGGTATTTTGAGAGCAGTCCTGTGGTATTACAAAAGTAATTAACAAGTGTCAGTGAAGATGGCTGTTACGATCATTTGCCCCTTCGATATCATTTTTGACTTCCGGATCTCAAGGGTCTCCGTAAGACCCAGCGTTCATACCCTTTCAATGAGAGCCCTCTAGTTGATTCATTAAGACAAAATAAAACAAATCAAAACAAAAATCGCCCTGTATCTTCTATGCATACAGTAGACCATTAGGTAAATTTCAATTTAATTTCCCTCCAGCAGGAAGAATGCTCGATCCATGCGCTGTTTACTCAGCAAAGCTCGCACGTGAATCCCGAGCCGTTTGGAAAAATATTCGCTGAACTTAATGCAGTCCGCTGCCCTGAGGTTCGTTAAAAGTAGGCACGACGGGCGGGCGGTATTTTCAAATGAAACGAAGCTGCTTTTCTTCGTTTTCGACGCGGGCCTTTTCATTTTCGCGGGTGAAAAAATGGCGGTGGCGCACCATGTGAAGATTGCAGTTTAGATACCGTCCAGTTTCACATCCCCGGGAAGAAATAACGGTCAGAATATCAAACTTGACCAGCTTTTGTTATTTTATACGAATGGGTGTTTGTATTCTGGCAGGTTTCCCTCATTCGACTAATTTTCTTTCTCTTTCCTTCGCTTCGACCCGAGCTCCGCCTCGGATATCTTTGGCACTCGGAAAATGCCTGCAAGGTTCATAATAAGTTCCTTTCTCTCTCCCCTTCACCTTCTCTTCCTCATTCTCTTACTCTCGTCAAGCACGTGAACTTCGCTTCCGAATTACGCGAAAATTATTCTAGGGCCTCGTGACTAAAAGCAAGTGAGAAAAATTGAGTTTTGATCTCAAAATTTAAGTTGGATTTTATCAACGAATGTTTCACACGGGCAACTGTTCATAAAATATTTGGACATTGTCAAGTGTTTGCTGATAGAACCCGGATTTTTTTTTAAAAATGTATGTTCAATGTGCCCCTCCCAATTTTTACCAAATTTCGGTTAACATTTGGAGAGCTGGAGAGCTATTAATAATCATAAAAAGTAAAACTTTTCTCCGAAATGAAGCTGTCTTTCTTCACTGAAAAAAAAATCACATCGTATCTAGAGTCCAGACTCTTAAAAACATCGACAAGAAAAATTACTCTTGATTCAATCAGATTTAAGCTTAAATCAAGAACCAAGCCTCTTAATTTGAGCGGATTTCCTTTTGATTCAAGCTTAAATCTGATTGAATCAAGAGTATTTTTTCTTGTCGATGTTTTTAAGAGTCTGGACTCTAGATCCAATGTGTTTTTTCCCCC